TCCTTGGTTTTCTCAAATTCTTCCTTCATGTTGGCCATCTCCTTCTCAGACTCTGCACTCTTCAGCAAGGGCTTGATCTTGAAGAACAGCTTCATCCATGGCCAGTGTTTGACATTCATGAATGAGCGAACGTTGTACTGGATGCAGAAGATGGACTCCCTGAAGTGAAATTCACACAGTTATTACATGGCTTTGGTGTGATTTATTTAAATTTCATCAGTAAAGTTTCATGAATTCCAACTAATTATGAGAAATATCTACCTCCGCTCCACCATTTTCTTATACTCCACTCTCATCAGGAAGCCCCTGCACCTGGCTTGTGTGCGAGTGATGATTTCTGCCAACTTGTCATCTCTCATCTCCTCCAGGAGTCCCAGCAACCCAGCTTTGAAGAACACCTTGAGAAAGGAAGTGTTGCACCATGTCATTGTGATGCAGGATAGAACAGAAGCACAGTCATTCAGATTGCTGAAAGACTGTAATGGCCGTGATCAGTGTCACCTTGGGCCCTCTCCCAAATCCTCTGTCCGAGGCCTTAGGACTTCCCATAATCTCAGCCCTAAGCATTCAGTCCTTGTCTGAGCTATGTGTCATGAGTACTGGTTTCCAGTTCAGCCACAGCCTCAGCTACTCCTATGCCTGGTCATGGACACTGGTGAGCTCTACAATGACCTATTAATTCTTGGCTTGATGTTAGACCAATCTCACTGCTGTCTATATGTCCATGAATTAATGACTGGGGCCTTGCCTTTTTAGCCTACCTATATCTGACCCTGACAAATCTTGAAAAACAAGGTTTTATGACTTCAACTTTACCATTCTTATTGTAACAAACTTGAGAGATGGTGTGGAACACAGGTCTTGTTTTTACCTTGGTGTGACCAAATTTGTACTGGGTATGGTCTACATCAATGGACCCAAGGAGCTTCTCTGAAGCCTTCTTGTTGTCCATGAACTGTCCCTCTGGGATAGCACTGGCATTAAGTACTCTGTATCTAAAAAAGGGAACAAAACATGAAGATATCACAATCATTGAAACCACTACCAGAACATTTCAAACTGCGCTACTGAACCAATCTCATGCCTAAAGACAATTCACCCTCTCAGGAAAGGACATGGGAAATGTCTTTAATAGTAATTCTAAGTGCAAAACAACCCTGACCTCAGCACTGCCACATTATCATGAACTGATGGTGAAACATCTATATTAATGATCAGTACCAATTTAAAATAAAAAGTTCAAAGTATATTATAATCATCAGGCTCTTTGGCTTGGTCAGAATTGGCAGAAAGAGCTCTTACCTCTGCTTGAAGTCAGCATAGAGGACTCTGCTGGGGAACCCTTTCCTGCAAATCCTGATCCCTTCCAGCACGCCGTTACAGCGCAGCTGGTGCAGCACCAGCTCGTGCTCCATGGCACCTGACAAATACCACCATTAGTGACTACCCTGCTGTTTGACACGCAGGAGAAGAGCTTCTGCTACTCAAGCTTTCTTCCCCTTGGCTTGACTTACCAGGTGTTTTAGTTTCATTTGGGATGATGCACCGTACAAAATGGGGGTGAGTGCTTCTCAAGTTAGCCATCAGCTTGTTTAAATTCTCCTGTGAGATCATGAAATGAAGTTTACATTATTAAGTGTAAGCACTGGAATCTTAAGAGTGGATGCATCAAACTGGTGTTTCAGGATGCAGACCTGCCTTCTCTAAAACAACTTCCAGAACTCCCAAAAGGAAAATTGGAAGCTGAAGGGTCCCAAATTTTGGTTTTGAAGTTCTTTTATAGAATAATGGTTAGCATTACTTTTCACTGATATCCTCATCCAAATACAGGGCTATCATGTCAGTTTTCCTTGGAGCTCGCAATTTTTATGGTATAGTGCTGGGGATATTAAATAAATTATGTACTCTTGATCAAGCATGACTAGCATCTGATTTGTCAGTGAAATAAGTTGTTTCTAAATGGAGGGGATAGTTTTATAGTCCATATAAGATATCCCTCTTAATAGTAATTCAGTCTCAAACTTTGAAGACATAACTGAAAACTGACCTTTCAAGTCATTAATTTGATAGAATTTAACCTTCACTCTTTTTCCACATTGAAATCCAGTCATTGTCATATAATTTTATTATTTTGGGGTAATTTCTTTTGCTTTTTATGTTTGATCTATTATTTTCATATTTAACTCCAAGTCAGTACTGTAAATCTCCCTAGGGACATAAAACAAGTCAAGAATATATATCTGAATGCTACAGAGAGGATTTTAAAGAAGTTAGCTGATAAATTACTCACTCTCACCTAACTAGGTGCACTTAACCCTTCAGATATTTTTGTGGAATATTTAAAGATGGCATTATAAAAGGAACATTAAGTAAGTTCCAAGGATAGAAAGGGAAGGGTTTTAAAGGATGACAAGAGTTATATCCAAAATGGAAACAGACCTTTCAGAATCAGAATAAAAATGCTTTCCATCTATAAGGAGATAATAAATACTCTAATTACCCTGAAAAGAGCAGAGACAGTCTGGAAGGAAGAACCCTTCTTCTTGCCTCCCTTCTTGCCACCACCACCAGCATCTGAAAAGCAAAGACAAGAAAAAAAAAGCTTAATAATATGAAAAATGTATATTGGATACTACAGAACACAAAGCTACTTTATATTTCTAGTATTTGCAGCTTTAATTCTAAGAAAACTTTGTCCCACATTAAAAATACAATTTCCACAAAACTGACCTGCATCTGCTCCACCATAGTTGGCAAAGAGTAAAGCCAGGGTCTTCACAGAGGATTTCTGGTACAGCCCAATGACAGTTTCATTCAGAGGGTCCTTGTTCTTCTCCAGCCACCCAGTGATGTTGTAGTCCACTGTGCCAGCGTAGTGCACCAGGGAGAAGTGGGCCTCAGCCTTGCCTTTGGCAGGCTTGGGCTTCTGGAAGTTGTTGGACTTGCCCAGGTGCTGGTCATAGAGCTTGTTCTTGAAAGAGGTGTCAGTTGCCTTGGGGAACATGCACTCCTCTTCCAGGATGGAGAAGATGCCCATGGGCTGGGAGAAATCACAAGAAGTGACAGGAAAGATTATAATGGAAATGTTCACTGTCACTTTGGTTGGGATGTTCACCTGCCTGGTCTAATGGAAGGAGTCTCCCCACCATGGTAAGGGGCTGGAACAAAATGTTCTTTATCACTCCTTCCAACCCAAACCATTCTGTGACTCTATGACAATGACAAGAATCATGTGCTGTGAACATCGAAGTCTGGTTGTGCTGTTAGCAGCATATCTGGAGGAAAGCCCAGGTTTAGCAGGAGTTATTCTCAGTCAAGGAGTTTATTTCTGCCCTCCCTTGCCTCCCTGCACTCTACCTTCATGGAACTGTCTGTCCAGTTAAAATGAGAATACATTGTTGAATTGGGGAAGCAATGATAAAGAGAAATATATGGGGAAAACAGCTACCAGGGGCTCTGTAATTTGGGGAGGCCAGGTGAAATTATATTTATTTCTCAAATTTGTCTGTGTACTTTGGAATTCAGCCTTAGGAGTAAGAAGAAAAGGAGACTGAATCAGGTTTGTTATTAGAAGTCTGTTTGTGGAAGTCCAGGCTACTTTTCCATGCTTGAATGGATGATGCAGACTGATGACACACGTGCATTTCCCCATTTCTCTTTCCCAGGCTAAACTAAATTTCAATACAACATACTTTCCTTAACTGATGCTACACGTCTGGCTATAAGTTCTCTCTGAACAGACTGTACCTCAGAAACATCACAGAATTCCAACAGCCATCATATGCATGCAAGGGAAAGGTACCTTCTCAATGAGCTCAATGCAGGCAGCCAGGTCCATGCCAAAGTCAATGAACTCCCATTCAATCCCCTCCTTCTTGTACTCCTCCTGCTCCAGCACGAACATGTGGTGGTTGAAGAACTGTTGCAGTTTCTCATTGGTGAAGTTGATGCACAGCTGCTCAAAGCTGTTGAACTGCCCAAAGCAAGGAAAGGTGCACAGGTTCTCAAGGTGTGCCAAAATACACAGGCCTTTGCTGCCATTCTCCTTAGGCTGTTTGAAGTTGAAACACAAGTCCCAACCCTACTAGACCAGCATTTGTTTCTACTCTTAACACCCACTGTCCTTGAATTGTCCAAAAAGTGACAATTCAAAAGGTACAATTCTATGCTACTCAGCTGCAAGTCATTGGTAAGCTCATTAGGTCCATGCTGTCAGTTCTCTGAACTGCTGGATGGTAGAAACCTCCTCAGTGTCCCACCCAAGAATTTCCCTGGCCTCAGAACAATGATCTGGGGGTTTTTGTGCTCTGACACAGAAGTCCTTGCATCATCACTGCATTCACAGAACAGGAAACACGCTGTGAACTTGCCCAGACCACTGCCTTAATAAGAGCTTCCAACCCTTGGGCCACAGCTGTGTGAGCCTTAGTCCTCTGTGTGTTTCCGAGTCCTCCTGACCCCTCCTTGCCCATTGCTTGATTGTGGTGTCAAACCCTTGCTGCTTACATCAAAGATCTCAAAGCCAGCAATGTCCAGGACACCAATGAAGTACTGCCTGGGCTGCTTCGTGTCCAGCTGTTGGTTGATGCGAACAACCATCCACAGGAACATCTTCTCAAACACTGCCTTTGCCAGTGCACCCACTGAATTGTTCACCTAAAGCAGAGGAGACAGGATTGGAGTTACCTCTGAGGGGCAAAGAAAAATGTGCACATGCTTCCTCAAGCTGTGCATTTTCAACTGTCATATGTTACCTGTGTCACGTTTTGACCTTTGGTCACGTATTCATTCCCAACCTTGACTCGGGGGTAGCACAAGGCCTTGAGAAATTCAGCTGAGTTTAGGCCCATTAAGTAGGCAGCCTTGTCAGCCACTAGATGAAGGGAGAGAGAGATAAAAAAAATAATGTGTTTACATTCAGTCTTTAGTATTCAGTTGTTGTGAAAAATTCTGCTGATAATGTTCTAATAATGAAAGAATATTTATCTCATCCCCTACAGAAGGTCTGTGAAGGAATGCAAACTCTGTGTACTACTGGTGGTCGTCTTTGAGAGCAGGAACAAGTATGGCCTGGATAGGAAGAGCTTGGACCTGGAATTTCCCAGAAGAACAACAAAAGCCTCTAGCAGGACATAAGGCAAGGTACATTCTCTTTCTGTGGGAAGGGGATTTCTGGGTAGCACAGCTTGCAGGACTTAATTTCATCAAAAACACGATTGGCCCTCATGGTGTCTTAGTGCTTGGAAGTTTTCAAGAGAGAAAGAGAGATATCCTGTGTTGAAACTGAAGATCCTGCTTTCAGGCAGCATGATTTTGGGGAGACACCATTGGATAGAATAATGGAACTTCTCATAACTAGGAAAGCCACTGCACTGAGATTGACCAGGGGCAAAAATGAAAATCTCAGTGTTTTGTGTGGAGACTCAGGCAACTGCAGTGTGCCTGCAGAGGCTAACATTTTGCCTCTGGAGACAGAGAAGGGCGTAGCACAAATCAGCCCCTGAACTTGCTGCTACCTTCTGTGCCATCAGGCTCTGCCTGCTCCTCTCGTTGTTTCTGCTTGAACTTCAGGTTCCCGTAGTGCATGACAGCCCCTGTCAGCTTGTAGATGGCTGTTTTCTCATCTGCAGTGAAGCCCAGGATGTCAATGGCACTCTGTAGTCAAAAGAATGAATTCAAAAGCTTGTCCTAAGTGGGTCAGAGAAGTCACCCTCAAGACATGCCCAGTAGGGACCTTGTTGCTGTGTTACTTACGTCTGTGGCCATGAGCTCCTCCTGGTCATCAATGCTGGGGACAGTGACCTCCCCTTGACTCACATAGTGGAAATCATAGGGGTTGGTGGTAATGAGGAGCATGTCTGCAAACAAGAAGAGTCAAGGCATAGATTTACTTTTCCAATCAGGTGAGAGGGGGAACTGTTCCTCAGTGCTCAACCCCAAAAAGCCATAATGCTCCTTCCTACCAATTAGCTCTGGCTTCTTGTTGGACATGATCTGATAAAAGATGTGGTAGCTCCTTTCCGCCTTGAGCTGGAAAGTGACTCTGGACTTCTCCAGCAGATCTGGCAAGGATGGTAGAAAAAGTTAGATCCTTGTGAGAATGTACCTGGATGTGGGAATTTGGGAAGTGGTGAGAACAGTCTAGGAGAATGTCTTACACGTTTCAATGTCAGCAGAAGCCAGTTTGCCTGTGGCACCAAAGTGGATTCTGATGAATTTGCCCTGTTAAGCAGAAGCAGCAGCAGGTCAGCCTGGATGTGTTCTGCTGACATCTCCTTTGCAGGAAGAAGTGCTCAGGCATCATGTGTGCTGCCATGATGGGGGGAGATCTTATGCAAAGCAAGAACTCACAAAGCGTGAGGAGTTGTCGTTCCTCACGGTCTTGGCGTTTCCAAAGGCCTCCAGCAGTGGGTTGGCGCTGATGATTTGATCCTCAAGCGTTCCCTGCAGGGACATCATTATTCAGTGACTGTGTTTGTTTGACAGGCAATGGCAGGCCAAGCATTCTGTCTGTCCTTCCTGACTCACCTGCATTTTGCCTGATGACTGCTCCTCCTTCTTCTTGTCCCCACTGGCTGCAATTGTTGCAAAGTACTGGATGACACGCTTGGTGTTCACAGTCTTCCCGGCCCCGGATTCTCCGCTGCCAAAGCCAAGAGAGAAGCAGAGGGCGCGTGGTCAGGCAGGAGGGGCCCTGGCACCGGGCAGCCCCACAGGGACCCACGCAGGGGGTGTACGTACGTGATCAGGATGGACTGGTTCTCCCGATCTGTGAACAAGGCAGAAAAAAAGAAATTATTATTATGTGTCATGAAAATCATTGATAAAATTATTCCTGTGACTTTTAGAAGGTGCACTGGCCGTAGGCATCTATTTCCATTAATAAACCTGTCTACCTTCACCCCTACTTCCTTTTCAATATTTAATGTTCCTAGATCCATCTGGGAAGATGATGTCTTTAACCTGTGGTGTTGCCAAGTATGGCATACATGCAGTTCTTTTTCTGGCTATTCCCTTCATGTCATACTGTTCATTTTGTTTATAAAAATTATTCCAACTAATGATCAATTTTGCAGAGTTCCTGATTAAATTCTCTATCAATAAGCTGATTGAGCTGGATCATGTGCTTCTCATAAACTTTATTACATGGAAGCAACCATTCCTGATCAATCAGCAAACGTCTGAAATGTTTTTTATGTTGTTGTCCAATTGACTATTGCCTAAAGAAAATGAGAGTAACATCAGTATGTAGTAGCCTTTACCAGATTAGTCCTCCATGCTCTAGAATATTCAAATTTTGGTACTTCCATAACTGGATTCAATATTTCTCTGTGCTATATCTTGTGCTGAGTTTGCTTTCCATAATTTTGTCCGGTGTCTTTTTTAACCTATGCTCCCACTGTGACTTCCTAGACAAAATTTTTGCACTATAAAAACTGAAAAGTCTCCAGGAAGTCTGAAGAGACTAAACAATTAGGGAACTAACTTTTAGTGGAGGAGTCTGGGTTTTCATTCACAGAGTTTCTGCATATCTTATGAAGGTGTCAGCAAGGGTAAATATATGACAACTTACATTAATACAACCCTGATAAGACACATAACTCAAACATCAATTTAATATTGCTTGTTTTCATTGTATTCTCTTTCAATTAACTTTCTTAATGCTCTGAATGCTACAGATTTAAATACGGTAATTGGGGACAAAAGAGGGAAGAAGATTTCTTTTAACGAATGAAAATACATGTTATTTTACTGCTATCTGTATTTCTGACCAATCTGCTCTATCCTAAAATTCTAGATATTTTAGACTGTGCTATAAGCTGTCACTACTCTGACCACTCCACCATTCCTCCGCTACTGTCACTGTCACTACCCTTCTCTGGTATTTCTTTCCTTTATAATAATGAATGGAAAAGAAGAAATTTATTCTGAGACGGAGGAAGGAAGTTATCAATTTTCTGAGCAGGTTTCACTGCAATTTCTGACTGAGACTGCTTCCAGAGTTTTTGTAAAGCTACCATCAGAAGCATTGGCTCCAATGTTGAATGTACTTTCCATTTGCACACAGTGTTGTTTGCAGAAATTCACCCTAGTGATTTTCAGTCCTGCATAGCAAATCATTCGAAGACCAATCCTTTCATGTGAGAAAAAGCAGAGGTTTAAAGTATATTCAAATTTCCTGAACTGAAAATCTGACAATATATTCAGTGTTAAATCATATCATCCCAAATACACTGGACATGAAAATTTAACACTGATTTCTGTAAACTTTATCTAAATTATGATGTTCCATTAAAAATCTATTTACAGTGATGACAGAACATCCACATTCACAGCAACATTAAATGAAACTACTTTGCAGTGAAATTACTTTTTTTCTCCTTTTTTAGTGTTTACTGCCAAGTGATTTTAAAGAAAATCATGAAACTCACCAGTCAGCATGAACTGATAGGCATTGTCAGAGATGGAGAAGATGTGTGGAGGGGCCTCCTGGCGCTTCTTGCCTCGGTAGGCCAACACCACCTCGGGGTTGTACACCGGCAGCCACTTGTAGGGGTTGACAGTGACGCAGAAGAGACCCGAGTAGGTCTGTGAGGAAGGGACACAGCACTCAGGCTTGCCCTGAGCCTGGCCCAGCAGCTCCTGAGGCTGCCCAGAGGAAGCTGCTGCTGCCACTTACGTAGATCATCCAGGCTGCGTAACGCTCTTTGAGGTTGTACAGCACGGCGGGTTCGTGGAGGTGGGTCATCATGGCCATGTCCTCGATTTTGTCATACTTGGGAGGGTTCATGGAGAAGATTTGATCTTCTTTCACGGTCAGGGTCTGCCAGAGAATAGAGATATGCATGTATATCGGCTAAGAACCCAGAGGGAATTAAATTTTATTTGTACATTTTGCATTTATTCACCTCTCCACCTTCAGTCTTGACAGTGACCTTCCCTGCATCCTTACTCTCAATCTTCCCTTTCACATAGGACTCCTTTGCATGTACCACGAAGACAGATGTCTTGGCATCAAAAGGTTTGTTCTGGGCCTCAATTCTCTCCTTCTCTGACTTTCGGAGGTAAGGGGCCGCCTCGCCAAAGGCGGCCATATCAGCGTCTGGAGCTGACATTGCTGCACTTCTTCAGGAGCCACAGTCAGCAGGGTCCTCTGTAGGCTACAAGATATGTTGAGCTGGTGAATGAACATCTTTATTTGAAAGAATAGAGATCTCTCGCACTTTGATATTTTTAAATATTAAAGTAGGTATAAAAAAGTCAAAAGTTGGATTTAAACTTCCCAGTCTTGGCTGAAAATACTTACATAGCTCTCTAAAATTAATCCTAAGACATCCAGCTAAGACACCATGTACAGAACAGCAGTTATGTATGTACAGTATGTTGTGAACTTTATCAGTATTATTTCAACTTTGTGAACTCTAGCCAATTTGGCTGTTCCCATAAGAGAGTCTCTGTTGATTTTTTTTAATGCTACTGAAAGACTCTGAAATAGTTATTTTTCTGATAGCAACTAGTGGCCTTCTAAAAATTACTTGCTATTGATAATTCATGTTGCATTATGACACATATAAATATTACTATTGCCTATTATCGCTTCCACAAATCTTAAAATCTTGGATTTCATCCTGTTCCTTAAAAGTTGTTAAATTTTGTTATTGATTTTGGTGGCAGAAGCCACTGCTGCTTGAAAACTTAAGAACTCATTTTGTGTTGCACAGGTATTCAGGTCTAATATATAAATTGAAGGAAAACATGCTGCTTTCAAACCTACAATAAAGTTATTGCTCCTAGAGTCAGTCCATGACAGAAGTGGATATCCAAGTCTTATAGGAAGTTAAATGGAATAAAAAGGTATATGTTTTGCCTAGTAGTTCACAGGAGCCAAACACTTACCTCGAAATTTTCTGTCAAGACAGGGCACAGCACTCCAAAGAGACTTTTATAGACTCTGGTATGCAGATGCTTTGGAGGTTTCCTTTTCCTTCTGTCAAAATATATTTTGGCAAACCATCTTTGGCAAAATACTTTCTGGCAAACTTAACTAATGGCATAATTGTCATTTGACCTGATATATTTAGAAATGTTTTGCATCTTACCATCCCTGTGGATACATTTCCTATAAATAGTCTGACAGGGCTATTAATATTGGAATCTGGACTAGTCAAGGCACTTAAAGAACTTGGATGTATGATTTATTGGTTCTTCTATGATCTTTACAGGTAACTTAATCTTTGATCCAGATGGGATTCTTTGACATTTCTGTACTATTGCAGATGCAAAAGGGAAATAATGTAATGTATCTTACATGTGGTCCTATGAACTTAGAGCTTGCTTTTACATCATTAGAAAAGGCAGTTCTACAAAAGACAAATTATTATTAGAACTCCTTAAGTGACTCAGTATATATTATAATAAAAAGGGGAAAACCAGACGTATTGTGGGCCAGGAATATCAGATAGAGAAGAATCCAACTGACAGCAAGGTCAAATACGGTTCCAAGTTTGGACACACAGTGCCTTCAGTGTGAAATGTGACTCCTTAGCTATAAAAGAAATTGAGTATGTATGTGAATAAATCTGCACTTTGTATTTTGAAGAAATCAAAAAATTCAAAATGTGCATACTAGAGGAATATTCACTATTGCAATAGTCAGTCATAAGTCATGTAACAGAAAATTCTTCATCATTTCAAACAAACAAATTATTCATAATATCTCAGACCTGAAAAAAAAATTATAGAGTTTTTTGCAAGTAATTTCAGGTTGTGAAAACGTTGATGCTTCTCTTACAGAGATGATACAGAAGAAATGTATAACAAGCACATTTATTAAAAGGAAGATTATTAATATTAAATTTTTTTTCTGTTTTTCAAAATTTATTCGAGGTTTTCTAAGGGTTAAGAGAGCCTAAGAGGCAAAAGTAACCTAGATCAGGAAATACTTTTAACCCCCAGTAGATATACAGTCAATAAATATACAGTGATACTTCCTGTTTCATCTCACACAAGCACGAAGTGCTAGCACGCCTTAATGAGCTCAGGCCCGTGTTGCTAATATTTATGTGCCTATTGTCAATGTATACCAAGCAATGCTTTCAACCAAGTCAGGCCTTCACCACCTACTACTCCAAAAAAAAAACCTCAACCCAAACTCTACCCACATCCACACACACAGCATTGCTCTTGGATCCTCTGCACTCAGACACATCCTCAGTCCAGCACTCCCAAATCACAACTATCTTGTATATTCATACAGCTCCAGCAACAAGAGCTCTCAACACAGTGCTGCCTGTTTTGGAGAAGCATTGCTGTAGGCAATACTTTGAGAAAGGGGGAATTGGCCAGTAGTTCTGGAGAATGAGTGGTCAAGTTCTAGGAAAAAGGGCACTGTCATCTGAGCTGATTTAAACAGTGTCAGTTCTGAGCATGCTCTTCTCCTGGTCATTGCCATTCTGATTATTAAAAGAGCTCAGTGGGTAAAGCTGAATGAAGAGCACAGGGGCATGGTCAGTAAATGTGATCCAAGGACATATCCAACATCAAGCACAGGCG